AATATAATATAATATAATATAATACAATATAATATAATATAATATAATATAATATAATATAATATAATATAATATAATATGATATAAAATAATATAATATAATATAATATAATATGACATACATAATATACATAAATAATGTAAGTTTCGTATTTGACCGTCAAATTTCCGTTAAAAATGCACAAAATCCGCAGTCTAGCGATCAACATTGCCAAAAACAGTCGTCACTGTCACAACGCGATTGAAAAATATGGCTCCCGATCACGGGGCATCGCGATCTCTGTCACATCCAATGCGGCAGCATGTGACTTCGCGTGACGCGACATCGATGCGTTCCCATCGGAGTTCCGAAACATTGATTCCGAAATCGGAAATTACGAGCTCGCAAAATATAGGATAACGCGGCGAATCTGGCGCAGACATCGAATCCCGCGCGAGCACGCGAGGATCGATATGCAAACCTTGTCTGCTCGCTCGGTAGTCGAGATCGATGATATACGGCCGTCGGGCATGGAATTCTTGTTCCCGGATGGCGGTACAGATTTACGAGCTCCGTTCCGTCCACCTGAATTATACGGGATTAGATTATTTCCCGGCCGGATCGAGGGTCCGGCGTCCGCACGCGACCTTGATAACGCGGCCCGCGAAGTCTCGCGTGTCCGCCGGCGATCCTTCGCGGAGAAATTCGCGAAGTCGAGGGTGGAATCCGAATCGGCCGCATCCGGTTCGAGGGAACCCCGAGAGAGTTCACGACGCCACGATCCCGATCCTCTCGGCCCGTGGTGCCGCGAAGCCGCCTTGTGTTCCCGGTATATCGGCCTTGTCGACGAAGATTAAGATCGTCGTGGCTCGATTTTACGGAGCACGTTCTCTCGCGCGCTCTTCTCTCTCTCTCTCTCTCTCTCTCTCTCTCTCTCTCTTTTCTCTCTCGCGTTCCCCGCTACACGCGAGAATCCTTATCGATGATGCTCGCGGCGCTCCGAGCCGCTTCTATTTACGCCAGCGGGCCCCTCGGACATCGCGTGCCGGCTTTATGCCGGCTCTGACAATAAAGCGAACTCGTTCCGCTAGCTTTTAAACCGTGTTTCCATAATTGTGCTTGCTCTTTGTCTTCGTTATGCCGCGCCGCGCTGCGCCGCGCTGCGCCGCGCCGCGTCGCGTCGCGGCGACGCAAAAATCCATAGCTCCGGGGAACGGGTCAAGGAAGACGCGGTGCGTGTTACCAAGTCGATAGTTCATTCACTGGGATTCTAAAAACGAATCGAACAACGCCGTACGAAAACGCGTGGCTCGCATCTGGTCCGGGGAAAATCCATGACTCGGGACTTAATCGCTCTTGCGGACCACCATCGCGGGTAGTATTGCTGTCGATCGTGTTATCAGTTTAACCTCGGCTGCTCGGGTTGCCGTTAAAAACTCTTAATTGACTCGTTTAACACTAGAATTACCGAGCCATAAATGCAGTCAATGCATTATATATTGATTTATAATAATGGTAAGGTTGGAGTTATTTGAACCATGCACGGTTTTTATTATTTATAGTGTCACGAATTGTGAAAGGAAAAACCGGAAACCAGTCATTCTGACTGGTTGCGTAGCTCCTAGTGTTAAATTATATTTACTTTTTCATGAAATTAAGAGTCTTTCGTAAGATTGTCTTTGCTTCGAAGTGACGCTTTGAGGATTTTTCGTTATTCTTTTTTCAGAGTCTGCGTTTAGCAGGCATAGTATCTTTGGTCAGATGTTTAGTAGCCTAAAACGATGAACTAGGTTTTCCAAGGACATTGACGATTTTTCTGATGTACTTTGGGAAAATCTGCAGTTTGAGAATAATGAAGGAAGAAAGATTTTTTAAAGCATCTTCACCTAGAACCTGTATTTACAGGGCATAGTATCT